CCAGCCTGTCAAGGTCGCTCTGGATGGCATCTCTTCCCTCCAGCATGTCCACAACACCACACAACTTGGTGTCATCTGCAAACTTGCTGAGGGTGCACTCAATCCCACTGTCCATGTCTCCAACAAAGATGTTAAATAGCACTGGTCCCAGTACCGACCCCTGAAGTCGGGAAGAAGTTGGGAAGCACTGAAAAGTCAGGAGCTGAGTGAGCTTGACCCCCTTCTCTGTGTGTGAGATGTGATCAAACCAGATATCCTGGAGCCCAAAATAAGGTCTCAGCTCTAAGGTGCTATTCACACAAGTTTGCTCCCTTATTGTCTCCTTAACTGTCAAGTCAGCCAGAGATAGCTTTGCCCTTTGTCCTGTTAGGAATACTGATAAGCCATTCTTTATTGCCTTTTCCAATTGTAATTGTAATACTTAGTTAGGTGTCATAGAAATATTGGCACCACAACTAGAAAGAAATTTGAGGTTGCTCTTTCCAGTGCATCTTAAGAAAAATTAAAAATTGCACCAATATTAATCTGTGATGGAATAGTGTTAATAAATTTGAGAGCTGAGAATAGGTACTGATTACATGTATGAAAATATCATAGACTTTTCCCTGAAACTTTAATTACTTTTTATTCACAGAGATATTTGGTCTCTTGGCTGTGTGCTTTATGAGCTATGTGCACTAAAGCATCCTGTAAGTACCATAGAATCAGATCAATGTAATATTATTAAAACAGATAGAGGGCAGCCTGCAAAAACTGTACTAATAGTAGTATTCATAGGCAGCTGCTAGAATTAATTTCAATTTACTTACTGATATTAAAGAATGACTGCCAGTGTTTAATTTTTTATATTCTGTCTGTTTTGTACATCCTGAAATGCAATGTATTATATTGTATTTCTATGATTTTTATATATATATACAGACACATACATCCAACATACATTTACTTTCTAATAGTACAAAACTTTTTCAAAAGGCAGATGAACAATTTCAAGAATTAAAGCCAAACTTCAAGGTTAGGCTTTAGGCATGTAGTTTTACTAATTTCTATTTGAAAATACCAATCTGTACTTACTAAAGGATTTGAAACCCACATTTCTCTAACAAGCAGCTTCAACGCCCAGAAGCCTTTTCCTGTAGGTTTTGAAGCACATTCACGTTTTTTTGTTTGGAAGCACATTCGTGTCAGAAGATGACTGAGAGAGAATCTTCAGGAAGCTGTGTTGTCCTTAGCCTGATCTGTGCCTCAGATAATCCTCAGCCTGGGAGTATTATGTGGAGAAAGGAACACAGCAGACACTAACCATGACAACAGGAAAAGGATCAGATTCCTGAGCCCAGCAGAAGTTGGCCTTTTCCTGAGCTTGGATTTGGGAGAAGGCAGAGCAGCACTGAACTGAGAGCAAAGGGGTGCTGCTGAGGAAAACTCCAGATTTCACAAAATGAGAAAACATTAATATTACTTCTTACTAATATTAGCTGGTTTATTCTGTATTGCTGCCCATTTTTTAATTTGAAAGCAGGGACTAGATGCTGATGTAGACAGGAAATGCAAGTGAAGTTAAGGCAAATTTTGTTTACACCACCTTCAATATAGCTAAGTAAATAAAATGGTAATTTTAGAAAGAATTTACTTTCAAAGTTAGATTTGCCTATCTAAGGCCCTAAAAACTATGTTGATGCTTACCTGTTAAGAGATCTGCTGAACTGAGAGGGCTGAGTTATTTGTGTGACATCACTTGTTAAAAATCAGATGATACCTTGGTTCTTGAGAGAACACAGAACACAGAGGCTAAGTTGTGTGGAGTGAGGTTTTGAAGATGAACACTGTGAAAATAGTACGTATGCAGCTCTCTGCTGAACAGCTTTTGGCAAAATAAATCATGTTTCATTCTGGAAAAATTGCTGCTGTATGACAGCAGAGTATGAATAAAACTCTTCTGGGTACAAAAGCTACTGGACCTGCTGAGTCGTGCAACTGAAACAAGTAGAATGTAACCAGAAAATACAGTCAGAGATTGGTTATATTAATTCTCCACAGCAAACTGTGGATAGCAAGAAGGGATTTGTGAAGAGACTGCATAGCACAGGGCTTCTGTCAGAAAGTACCTTTTTTTTTCAAGTTGAGGTGTCTAGTGCATCATTTCCAGCCAGTAGTACTTACTGTCCTCTTTTTACTCTTTTCATTGATGAAGTTTGAAGGCAATAGTTTGCACCAGCTGGTGCTGAAGATCTGCAGAGGACATTTTCAGCCAGTGTCTCCCAACTATTCATATGACCTGAGGATATTGATTTCTCAATTGCTTAAAATATGTCCAAGAGATCGACCATCTGTTAACTCTATTCTAAGGAAGCCCTTCTTGCAGAAGCTCGTTCTCAGGTATTTGCCTCCTGAGGTAAGTGCCTTGTGCTGCTGCTTGCTGAGAGAAAAATATGTATCAAAGTAGTATAAACAGTTCTACAGATACCCTTTTTCTTATAGATAACGCAGGAAGAACTCGGTCACACTGTGATACATAGAAAAAGGTCTTCAGACTCGCAGCCTGGAGCCCAGCCGATACAAGGTAATAATAATATTATTTAACATTAGTTCTACGCTAACATTTGTTAGTTATGATATATGTGATGGCTATAACTTTCTCCAGCAGTCTTTATTGCACATTTGGATACCAGAGTTTTACACAAAGTTAAAAATAAAAAGGGGAGACAACTGCAACAGCAGAAACATTCACCCCAGACAGTGCGTTGCTGTTCTGTTCAGGAAAAGATAACTTTAAGACCAGCTCGTTAGCCACTTTCAACTAGAAAAGCTGCCATAGGAAAGTGCTGAAACATTAATCTTAATTCTTTTAAGAACAGTATTACAAAACTGAGAGGCTTTGGTCTAGACGCGGTTTAGGTCCTTCACATGAAAGATGTGCTTCCTTCATTTTGCCAAGCTATATGCAAAAGTGCAAAAGTCTTGCAAAATATGCTCCATGGTATTTTATAAATTAGTAAAAATGTATTTTACAAAATATTATAAGTTAGATTAGATTGTGAGAGACATTGAACTCTATTTGGATTTAGTGCTTATTGATAGATCGTGTATGCCCATTCTTAGAAAACGTGAATGAGACTAAATATGTCTGTATGAACTGATGAACATCTGGCATGTTTCTGGCAGCATAACCTTTTCCTCATTCTATATTCTTTGGTAGATCATAATTATTCTTCAAATTTATCTTTGGAATTTTTAAAGTCGTTTAAACAGATTTGTGAAAATAAACCTGTGCAGTTACTTAACTACACTATGAACTTCCTCCCCTGTAAATAAAAAAATAAAAAAAAAAAGGGTCCTTTAGTAGCGTAGGAACCTAGGTTACTTTGGAAGTTACTTTCAATGAGATTTGTTGGCCTTCAGATCTAATGCAATTTGGAGAGAAGCACCTGAACACTTAAGTCACTTAGACTTTTTTTTTTTAAATATCTATGGTCATATACTCATAATTTTAATATATTTTATCTCCTACACGTGATACTCTCATGATCATTGCTCAGGAAAAGTTTAAAACTCAATATATAGTTATATATATAAATCAATATTTATACTTAATCATAGCAAAGACACTACTTTTCATTATTGCAGCTGAGGTATTTGCAAAGTACTGACTGACCAAACTGGAATGGTACATACTCTTACCTTCTCCTACATGGGAAACAGATAAATTAAATTCTTCATTTTTCAGCCCTTCTTTCCAAATTTCAAAAGTACTACAAGATTGTCCAGTGATTTGTAGAATACTGAGGGCTGGGTTTAGAAAGGGAATGCCTAAGCAGGTAGACACCTAGCCTCCAATGAAATCTGAGCCTAAGAATCAGATGTCCTGTTTTCTGTTCTTGGTACTAGCATCCAATCTACATTCTCGTTTATGGAGGTCTCCCTTTTATCCAGTGTGCTTTGAAAAACTCATCAATAAGATCCCCTTTACATGAGTGTGACAGATCATAGTGTTTTCAAAAGAAGCATGTCATTCTATGAATGAAAGGCAGAATGCCTAGGAAGTGTGAAGTATGGTGGTGATGATGATAGTGATGATGATGATGAAAGGACAAAAGGCGCGTTTGTTAGCCCGACCTGTCAGTGTTAGGTGTATGCACCCTACTCTGGTTTGCAACTACATGATCATTAATCATGTAGAGAGCACAGAGGTAACCTTTTAATCTTTTATTGTTAAAAAGCATATAAACTTCAAAAAAGGAAAGTCCAAGACCAAGTTTCTCCGGAGTCTAGAATGGTGATGCCTGTCAAGAAACAGGAATTATTTCAAAGAAATGAATGGAAACCTGCTTCAAGAGGACAACAGCCTATTTTTCAGGTACTATACATCCACATTCTGGTAATATTTAATCATCTTCAGAAGGCAAATTCCCACTCTTAGAAAAGACCCTTTAAAAAAGGCCTCCTTAAGATGTATTAAATTCAGCTTAATGCCTACGCTGTCAGCAGAGACCGTTAAGCACTCCTGAAGCCTTAAAAGAGGTGTTTTAGAAAGCTGAAGTGGGAAATACCGAATTTAGGCTGCTTCAGCGTGGTCTTTTGTAACAAAAGGAGTCAGGCATGCTTTGCATTTACATTTGCACGAAGGCAAATAAAATCTTATGTTTGCATTTTTGCTATAGAAGCAAATACACTGGAAATACAAAGCAAATACACAAATACTCTCACCTCAGACCTTCTGAGAGCCCATTTATGGGCAAAATCACTGGCACCCACTGCATGTGTCTCAGATACTGTTAGAACAAACTGACTACAGCAGATAGCCCCAGTTCTTCATAACCACTTGTATCCCTCTTTCATTTTCCACCTCCTTCTTTCTTCAGGGTGGATGTCAGCTGTAAGCTGTCTCCAGCCTCTTCCTTTGGATCACTCCATACCTTTATATTTATCTTCAAGAGCATGTAGTACTGCCTTGGGTGCTGGTGAACACAGAGCAAAGCACGTTTAGGATCTGGGAGCTCCCAGCAGTAATTGCACAATGCAGTTACGCTGGTTTAACTGATGGTGGGGAATTGTGGAGTTCCCAGAACTGCAGCCCTCAAGGAATCACTTACACTACCTATGGATAATACTGGCCCAATATAGGACTTAGTTTTCCTCATAGTTACATTTGTGCATATCCAATGCAAATCCAGAGATGGATTGAGTTAGGAAGGGTAAGTTTCCTTTCACTGTACACTGCTGTAATCAAAGGCAGAATTTTGTCCACAGTCTTTTGGTCTATGAGATATGCTCTAATATTAACACTGGGAAAGAATTCAGCATCCAAATGGAGCAACCAGTTTGCAGGGTTGCAGGGATACTTGCACATGTCATGCTTTGAATGAGTTGCTTCAAGATTTGCAGAATCACAGAATGGTTGAGGTTGAAAGGGACCTCTGGAGGTCACCTTGTCTGGCACCCTGCTCAAGCAGGGCCACCTAGAGCTGGTTGCCCAGGACCATGTCCAGACAGATTTTGAATATCTCCAAGGAGGGAGACTCCACAACCTCTCTGGGCTACCTGTGCCCGTGCTTTGTCACCCTCACAGTGAAAAAGTGTTTCCTAATGTTCAGAGGGAACCTCCTGTGTTTCAGTTTATTCCCTTTGCCTCTTGTCCTGCCACTGGGCACCACCGAGAAGAGCCTGACTCCATTTTCTTTGCACCCTCCCTTCAGGTATTTATATACATTGATGAGATCCCACCTGAGCCTTCTCTAGGCTTAACAGTCCAAACTCTTTCAGCCTTTCCTCATGTAAGAAGTGCTGAAGTCCCTTAATCACCATTGTAACCTTTTGCTGGACTCCCTCCAGTATATCCCCGTCTCTCTTGTACTGGGGAGCCCCACACTGGACAGTACTCCAGATGTGGCCTCACCAATGCAGAGTAGAGGGGAAAGATCATCTCCCTTGACCTGCTGGACATACTTTGTGTAATGCAGCCCAGGATATCATTCACCTTCTTTGCAGCAAGGGCATATTGCTTGCTTATGGTGAGCTTGGTGTCCACCAGGACCCCCAGGTCTTTTTCTGCCAAGCTGATTTCTAGCTGGTTAGCCCCCTACATGTACTGGTGCACAGTGTAAGACTTTGCACCTTCCCTTATTGAACTCCATGAAGTTCCTGTCAGCCCGTTTCTCCAGCCTGTTAAGGTCCATCTGGATGGCAGCACAACCCACTGGTCTATCAGCCACTCACAGTTTTGTCATCATAGAAGTTTATCAAGTTGATCAAGCATGACTTACTCTTGTTGAATCCATGCTGACTACTCCTGATGATTTTTGTGTCCTTCATGTGCCTGGCAATGGTTTCCAGGATTAGTTGTTCCATCACCTTGCTAGGCATTAATTTGAAGCTGACCAGCCTGTAGTTCCCTGGGTCCTCCTTCCTGCTTTTTTTGAAGATATGAGTGACATTTACTTTCCTCCAGTACTCAGGCACTTCTCTCAATCACTGTCATGATCATTCAAAGATAATAAAGAATGGCTTTGCAATGATGTCTGCCAGCTCCTGCAGTATTCATGAGTGCATCCCATCAGGACCCATGGATTTATATTTGTCCAGTTTACTTATCTATTTTCTGACCTGATTTTTTTCCACTGAGGGTACATCTTCTTTGCTGCAGACTTTCTCCCTAGTCGCAGGGGCTGGATTTCCTGAAGGCTGGTCTTGCTGGTGAAGAAGGCACTCAGTACCTCAGCCGCTTCCATGGCCTATGTCACTGGGGCATCTGCTTCACTGGTCACAGTTCTCAATCCTCTTACATTTATTTAGATGGCCTGATTTGCTCTCCATATTGCTTGGAATTGCCATGCATCTGGGTACCATACTGTAAAACTTATTTCAGTGAGGGACAAGATAAACAGATTCTGAGGTTACCTCTTCCTTGGGAACAGTATTGGCAGTGGAAAATTTTCTTCTTGTATAGATAGGAATTTATATTCTACTGTAATCTGGATTACACCATAGGTAGATGAGCCTATTTTCAGTGTTACTAAGAAGAAAAACAGGAAAGAACAGTTAATGTATTTACCATCTAAGAAAGGGATACTAAGATGCTTTTTAATTTATGTAACAAACTAAGCCAAATTCACTGTTTTTCTTGTATGGTGGTTTTCAGTGTCCCACTGTGGAAAAGTTTGTGAATGTCTTACCACACTTCTTTTATATCATGCAGTGGCAGCTAGACGATCACCTTCTCTCCATTGTTCTACAAGAAATGGAAAAGACAATCTTGTCACAAAGTAGAAATACAGGGATGATTCATCACAGTAAGGACTTTGAGAAATTAAAGGCAAGCTCTACAGGCACATAATCGAAGAGATGGTGACGTGAGGTAGCACAGTGCTCCCCTGAAAGCAGCAGTCAATGCATATACTGCCCAAAACTGCATCCCAGATTCCCCTTGCTCTCACATGCCAAAATAAGATTCTCCTGGAATTAATTCAGTGCTTTAGGCTTCAGAACAATGAAGACACTCTAGGGCAACGACACTACAGAGTAAAAAGCCCCATGCTACTTGACTTGCACAACAGTATGGGCTGCTACTTAATGACAGAAGCTGGTGGGAAAAGGGGAGAAGGAAAAGACAATGATAAGGTTACATGCATCCTGGGAAGTCAGGAAGTTTCTGAGGTATATGTGAAAGGATTTGGAAAACTTAAACTATACTGTAGACAGCCTATATTACCATGCAACTCAGGCTAGGGAGGAGGACAGGAAGTTGATTCAAACTTGTACTGATACAAACGAGAACAAGTAAATTAACATCCTTTATTGTGTTTTCAGCCACAGAGCTCCAGATTTAACATGGAAGAAAGGCCAGAAAGTATTAGAGTACATGGCCGTTATGGTCATTACTATGACAAACTTGACAACTTGCAGAGGAAAGCTAATGCACATTATGACCTTTCTCATATCAGCCAAAGAGTTGAGGAATACTATAAAGTGAAAGGGCAAGTTGCACCGCCACCCCCACCACCCAACTGGTAAACTTTTCTTGCTTTTTTTATTAGTAGTGAACTGTCGTGCATGTTTTGAGTTATTAGCCTTCCTGATTAGGTAACACTGGACATGGCTCATTCAGTATAATTCATTCTCTGCTTGATCTTTGATTTTTTTTTTTATGTAAGTCCATTGCACAACAACATAACTCCTGTTTCTGTCTATCCAGAAGTTCCTTCTGAATGTATTGTCCTGATGTTTGACATTTCATTGTCAAAATGTCTCCCGAATCTCAACATTTATTGGGTGAGAAGTAAAACACAGGCTTTTTGTAG